AATATGAAAAACCTAAGAATTTGAATGATATGTTAAGTTAAAAAAAAAAATTGAATGTTTAAAGACACATAAATGGATAGAATTTAAAGATAAACACAATTCAAACCTTTTTTTTTTTGAAAAGGACACAATTCAAACTTGATTACTTTAGTAAACGAAAGGTAATTTATTAGACAGATGGTATTTGCATATGCATTGTGGGACGATCTGTTCGACAAAATTAACTTTTTTCCGGTTGAAAACAAAATGAAAGTATATACTAAACTAAAATTCGTCTCGTGGTTCAACGTTTTCTTTTCCAAAGTCCATAATCGACTATAATAGAAATGGTCAATTTGGTGAATAATAAAAAAAAAATTATAATTTAAAATCTAAGAAAAATGGCATGTCTGGCAATATTGTGGTCATTAGATTTAGGAGAATTGGTTATTTATTGAGTTTTTTTCCATAGTTATTGAGCCTAATTTTCCTAAGAAAAACATATTTCTAGTAATGTTTTATTGTTTTCGATTAATTCCCTCTGTTTTAAAATATAAATTGATTTCGAGGTTTTTATTTCAAAATATAAGTTTTTTTGATAATTCTATGTACTTTTTATTTTATTGGATATTGTGCGCCCAATAATATTTTGCAGTCTCATTTATAATTAGTTGAATTATTTTAATCTTATATATTAAATGATATTTTTCAAAAAAAAAATTCTTAATTTCTGTACTTTTAACAAAAACAACTTATTTTAAAAATAGAGGGAGTAATAAACGATACTAAAATATCTATTAACTTAAAAATATAATAACAATATATAAAAAACACAAAATACTGATAATTATCATGATTTTTGTGATTGATAACTAATAAAATAATACATTTTCTATTAGTTAGGGTGTGACTGAATATCACTGAGTGGAAGAAAAGAAGTAGGTAAACAAATTATTACTCTGAATTCTTTTCTAATTTTTCCAGTCAAAAATAAAATAAATTTCGGGAAGAAAAATAATTTTCTTCCCTTTCTTTCACTCTTGGAGTATAAAATAGTGGAAATATTTTTCTACCCAATTCTTCTAGTTTTCAGTTTTCTTTTATTCTTCGTTTAGTTATTCTTAATTTTTTTTCTTCTTCAAATGTTGACCACTCAGACACTTGGTGGTAGGGTTGGACGCGGATCGGATATCCAGAAAAAATGCAGTATTTGTGATTTAATTTATTTTTTACGGATATCTAATTTTATTATTTGCTCTGCTACGAAAAATTTCGGATATCCGGATTTTTTCTCGATATTTGCGGATATCTGGATCTTCGCGGATATTTGTTTTAAACAAAAAAAAACACCATAATATTTTTTTCAAAAAAAATAAGTTTTAGTTTAAGATTTAAACTGATTAAACAATAAATATATGAAATGGGTCTAATTTTATTCGATAAATTGTTTA